TGAGAGAGATGATGATTCTGAGGCCACCCTATCCCAGCCATATTATTCACATATCGAGTCCCAACAGCAACAGTGTAGGGATGAGCACGACAGTGCAGGTGAGCATGAAAGATGGAAAATCTTCGGGGATTTTAGATAGGGAACACAACAAAACACTAATACTCAGGGATTTGGGAATAGTCAGACGCCTGCTAATATCGATGATTCGTTTTTAGATCGAATCAAATGAATTGTTAAACGAATTCAATCAATGGCACCAGCGTGACCAAGAAGAACAATAACGTCATCTATCATTTTATTTTTAGATCATATGTTACTAATTTATGCTTTATTGTAGTCCAAGTATGTTGATATACTTATTCCATGATAATTATATGTTTATCCTCTTGTGTGATGTAAATTAAATGCTGAATGGCGGTTCATGCAGGGAAAGAACATATCAATATTCGCATATTTATTCAAAAACATGAAAATTCTTAATGGAGTACCCTCATTTCTTATTGAATTCCTAAGAATGAATTTTAATAATTTTTTCGGATTTTTTTTAAGCTTTATTCAGACCGATTCACTCGATTCCCGATCCAGATCGTCGATTCGCCGATCCGGATCGGTTTTTTGGAAGCCCGATCCGAGTCACCGATTCGTTTTTTAAACCATTGATTGAAACTAATTTATTGACGCCATTTGAAGGTAGGCTCTATACAAACCTCACCGATATAGATTTGGCACTATCTTAAAAACATGTTAAATTTGATATTTATTTTTGAAGCACCGTCCAATTGAAAAAGATGGTGTAGAGTATTACAGCTTTACGTTTACAAATTTGTCCCCTTATACAAACTAGACCCTTGATTATTTAGTCCCCTAATTAGCAACTAGTGATAGAAGTATGACATGGTTCTATCACTGGCAACTTGGTTAATCGCCATCCATTATTAGGGATGGACGGTATATGCCTCTATACAAACTATATATGACATAAAGTTTTGATCTAACGGATCTTTAAAAAAAAAGAAAAAGGAAAAAATGATGAATTTCAAAACGTAAAAATTATTATTCATATTGTAGGAATATTTTGAACCGTTCCATTTCAATTTGGCTGGAAATGATGGGTAAGAAGAGACAGGCCAGAAGAAGCATGAGATAATTTATCAAAAAGTGACACAGGATCTTTCCCTTTTTAGGCACAAATAATCACTTCCTCAAGACAATATTTGAGGTGTGGTTTCCATAAGGTCGCAACCGTAAACAATCCAATTAAGCGCAGCAACCGTAAACAATCCAATTAAGCACACTTTAACATGTAATTTTGGTACCAAAAAATCTAAAGATTATTTGAAAATCTATTTTCATATCTAATTATAAAATTTTAAATTCCAAAAATAGCTAAAATCAAGTACATCTATAAACATTTGAAAATCTTGAAAATAGACGGTCTAGATAGTATGTTATGAGATGGACTATTTCAGGGACTCAAAATCTTTTATTTTTTCATATTCATACATCTCGACATCGAGATGATCAATTAGAGGGTTTTCCAACATTAAAACAATATTTTTTGATAGAATTTTTAGGTGCATCTTTAATCTACATTTTAAAGTTGCAACCTTGTATAAATCTTTTCCTTGATTAAAATCAGTGTGCATAAAAGAAAATTTGTCTTTGGGATACAAAAAAAATAGAAGATTTAAAAAATTTTACTGTATCGATTTAAAATGCATGCACAAGAATAAGAGAAATAGAGCACCGTAATTGTCCGAAGACAGATGAATGTCAGAAAACATAGTCTATTCGTGCCTAAAGTTCTGTTAAAAATTATGAATTTATTCCTAATAGAGAGAGAGAGAGAGAGGAAATGTCCTGTAAATTCTATCCAAAACTACCCAATGCACAAGCTAAAGAGTTGCAAGTCTTTGTTTCCCAACTTTAATAATCATAATTACAATCATACATGCAACAGGTACCCTAGAGTCAACGGTTCAACATGCATTGCGGCCCACTTAAATGTGGCGTTCAGGTAGCCAAAACAGTCACTACTGGTGGCAGAAGTGCAAAGTGTACATCAAACGGCCACACAAGTACATGTGTACACGTTGCCCTTCATAGGCTCTATATAGGTCTGGTCTCTTTTGATTGTATAAAATAAGAGATTGTATATAATGAGACTATTTACCTTTTATGTAGGGAGGTCATAATTACTTACGACCATCCGATATAAAATCTGATAGTTTAGATGTGTCATAAAATTCGAAAAAAATTCTTTTGAATTTTGTATTTGGTCAATGAAATAAATACAGCCACCCGATTTGACATTCAATTATCAAGATTAATTGTGATTATCTTACGTAAAAAGTAAATGATCTCATTATATACTTTCCCTAAAAATAATTGTAAATGAAAAACCACTTATAAACACAAGATTGTCTTATACATTTACCGACCCATCCTACCATATCCCTCTCTCTACAATCAAACAATGTAAGCTTTTCCAAAAACTATGGCTTCAATGTAGGTAAATAACACAAGTATTTTTCCAATAAAAAATACTACAATGTTTTCACATATCATGAAATCAGCACGATATTTAGACTCCAAATCCATAGGGAAAAAAGGGATTTGCATATGTTTGAAAGGTGTTTCGAATCCCAAATTCATTAGAAACCATGGGGACGCATGCATTTGCACGAAAAACCCTTCTTTCAACTTTAGACCAGACCTTCTAAGGCTGACAACAAGCTGGGCCATCCTTTATCCCAAAGGGCCCACCTAG